GAGGGTGCAGGAGCAGGGGGGAGGGAGGGTGCAGGAGCAGGGTGGAGTGGAGGGGGATGTGTGAGGGGAGTAGAAGTTAGGGATCTGATGGGGATAGGGAGAGCTTACCTTGTTTTGTGGACCCTACCACTTCTAGGTACCATCCCCCTCCCCCACTGCTCCTATTGGCCAGGATTCCAGCCAATGGGAGCAGCAAGGAAAGCCTCCAGGTGAGAGGTTTCCTGTGCTGTGGTTCCCCCCAGCTGGAGGGGCGGGGGGAGAACAGCAGCACACGGAGTCGCTTCCTACCCCCCGCAAGCCAGATCTGGCCTGTGAGGCTCAGGGCTTTCCCCCTCGTGCAATGGGAAGCTGGCGCTGGTGCTTCAGACTTGCAGGGGGAGGAAGGCAGGCATGGGCCCAGAGTTCCAGTGCGCGCTTCCCGCTGCCGGGGGTCCCAGCCCGCAGCCCCACCTGCAAGACGGTTGTGTGTGTTCTCACAGCTCTGGCTACTGCTCTCGCCGTGCCGTGCCAGGCTTTTTAATCCTGTTTGAGCTCTTGGGCCAATGGCATCTGGAGCTCCACCAGCTGCACGTGTTTCTACCTCGCTTGAACTGTGCTCTCTTCTGCCGTGGCTGAACGTCTCTTGTTCTGAGCAGGGGCGGCTAGAAAGGCCTGGCTGCCCCTCTCTATGCCTTGCCCGATCCCGTCACTACTGGCATGGGGAAGGCGATGGCCATTGCCAGTTGCCCTGCTGAGGGGGGAATGGATCTGACACACCGATTTCTGGAGGGATTGGGACCCAAACTGGGGAGCCAGATGCAGGGACAGATGACTGAGCTTTCTAAGGGCCCCCACAGCCCGCAGGTCATTTTTGACTCCAGTCCCTGCTTTTCTCTGCTGTGGGTATTGACCGTAGTGACTAAGTCCGTGACGGGACATGGCCTGCGGTTCTGCGGCGGTGGAGCTGCGGCCCGGCACGCTAAGAGACAAGATTGTGCCCAGCACGAGGTTTCCTACCGACTTGTCCAATTTCCATCCATCTCCCAGAGCTGAGGCATGAGGAAGACCCAGTCATCCAGCCTTTGGTGCTCGCCTCAAGCGAGGCCTCGTCTCCTGCTGGACCGTGCAGCTGCGGGGGGCTGTCTGCAGAGCGCCTCCAGTCAGAAGCAGGAAGCCGGCGGATGTACAGCCGCAAGACTGAATCGGGCCCTTGTCCCTGGCCTGTCCCAGGAAAAAGACTCTGACCGCAGAGGCCTGGCATGGGCTACCGGGGGAGGGTTCAGCACTTCCCCAGTGGCACGTTGGGCTGTAGAATTGTCACTGTTGCGGGGAACCTCCTGGATTGCAGGGAGCGAAGGTGGAATCGCTCTGACCTCCGTGGCTCCTGAAACGAGCGGTGTGAAGCGGGCGTTATTGCATCATGTCTCTCAGGAATTTTCCTTCTGCCTCCACGAACCTGTGGCGTGTCTGATGAAAGCAGCAGCCACTAGAGTATTCCAGCAGCAGCGTCTCCATCACGCCTGCCTTAGGAGCCCCGATTCTCCGCATTTAAAATAGAAGCGGAGAAGAAAACTACCCCAGCTGTGGGAACGGCTCCGGTCTCCACTTCCGAAGGGCTGGGAATCAGAGGGGCTGGCACTCGGCTCTGGGTTCCTGTTGGCCCTGTCAGGGAGCCTCCTTCCCTTCTGTGATGGAAGAGGATTGGGGGCAGAGGGTTCAGGGTTTGTTCAGCTGCACTATGGGCCAGGCCGGGTGAGTAGGTGGAGGGAGGAGGCCCGCGTCAGCCGAGGAGCCTTACCCATAAGCCGGCTGCACTGCGGAAGCCTGGCAAATAGCTAGGATTCTGGGGGGGCTTGGACCTGGCACCTTTGCTGCTTTTCAGCCCCCCCCAAGCTGGGAGCGACGTGACTTTCCTGTTCTCGGACGCACGGTGCCGCGGATGCTGCATCCAGCCCACGATGCTGCTGCTCCTGCTCCTCTCCTGAGGGCCAGATATTCTGGAACACAGCGGCCTCCTTTCGTCTCCCCGCTCGCTGAGGGTGGGGATGGGCAGCTCCTCCCTGTGCCTTGCACACAAACTCCTTCCCAAGCACGGGGCCGGTGGGCCAGCACTCTGCAGCTAACACAAGTAGGGCTGAAAGCTGGCCAGCCCTAGCAAGCGGCTGGGGGGGGGGCCGTGGGGAATCCATTTGGGCGGCAGCTTGTTTGTTGGAGCTAATTGATTGCCCAGATCCCCCTGCGATGCCAGGGTCAAGCAGAGGGCTTCGTGCTCCCGTTCCCCTGAGGGAAGTGGCACCTTGGGGTGGGGGAGAGGTGCAGGCCCACTGGTGTGTGAGGCCTCTGCACAGGTGAGTGGGGGCAGGAGGTGAGTGGGCCAGATGTGGCTGTATGAGAACAAACTGGAAAGATTTCTTGGTGTCTGCTGCTGCCATTGGCAGTCCCAAGGGGGGAGGCCCCAACTGAGTCTCCCCTTTCCGAGCAGATGGCTCCTCCAAAGGCGAGAGGTTGGGTGTGTCTCCAGGCCTTGTGCCAAGGACTCACTCTGCCCATGTCTCCCCAGCTGACGAAGAACGGCACGGTGGAGTCGGAGGAGGCAGACGGCCTGACCCTGGAGGACGTGTCCGATGACGACATCGACGTGGAGAACGTGGAAGTGGACGACTATTTCTTTCTGCAGCCTCTTCCCACCAAGCGGCGCCGAGCCCTGCTCCGGGCCTCCGGGGTTCACCGCATCGACGCCGAGGAGAAACAGGAGCTGCGCGCCATCCGCCTGTCCCGAGAGGAGTGCGGCTGCGACTGCCGCCTGTACTGCGATCCTGAAGCCTGCGCCTGCAGCCAAGCGGGGATTAAATGCCAGGTCAGCTGGGGCAGCAGTCGGGGGTGCCAGGGGCTGGCCTGATCTGTGCTGGAGGGGGTCGGCACCTCTCCGGGCTTGAGGCCGTGGGTTCTGTCTCTGTGCCTGGGCTGAGCTTGCAGGGCTGCGTGCGGGAGGGTGGGAGCGGCCCTTCAGAGAAGACCTGCCTCCGTCTGGTTCCGCGGTGCTGCTGTACAGGGCAGCTGGGAAACGGAGGCATCCCAGGCTGAGACGGCTCTTAGGTCTCCCACTCGGGTCTATGCCGAGGGCCTCCCTGCCCTGGAAAGGGCTCTGGGGACGTGGGAGGAATCGCGTGCCAAATCCCTACCCTGGGATTGCCGGTTAGCGGAGCTGTTGACCCTCCCCTTCCGTCGGCTTCATCGGTGCACGTTCCACCCCGTGCGGGGCTGGCGCTGGGGACTCTGCCGGCTCTGCTCCCCCGCTGGCTGACTTGGAGCTCACCAGTGGTTTTCCCTGGATAGGGGGCGGCAGTTGAGACGAAGGGCCGGAAAGGGAGAAGTGTCTGGCAGGGAAAACGGGGCGGCGGGGGCTGCCCTTGGGGGCTGGTTAATGGCTTGTTGTTGTGTGTGGCAGAGGCGCCCCGGGCCTGTTTCCTTTCACTGAGATCTGAGCCCCAGGGCGTTGTGCTCTGTCGCCCTGGCGCGACCCGCTGCCGCCTCACTGCCCTGCCCTCCGCTCCCCTCCCCTCCAGGCAGAGGCGCCCGGGGCCTGTTTCCTTTCACTGAGATCTGAGCCCCAGGGAGCTGTGCTCTGTCGCCCTGGCGCGACCCGCTGCCGCCTCACTGCCCTGCCCTCCGCTCCCTCCCCCTCCAGGTGGATCGCATGTCCTTCCCGTGCGGCTGCTCCAGGGACGGCTTGGGCGCATCGAATTTAACCCCATCCGGGTGCGGACTCACTATCTCCACACCATCATGAAGCTTGAGCTGGAGAACAAGCGGCAGGTGAGCCGGCCCCAAGCCCTGGAGGACGAGTCGCTGCACAGCTCCGGCAGCGACTGGCTGGGGACGCCGCCCTCGGAGACACAAGACTTCCAGGAGTTCATGGCGGAGAACGAGACGGCCGTCATGCACCTGCAGACGGCGGAGGAGCTGGAGAGGCTGAAGGCTGAGGAAGACTCCAGCGGCTCCAACATCGAGAGCTTAGGCGTGTGCATCCTCGAGGAGCCTTTGGCCGTGCCCGAGGGGCTGTGCCCAGGCCTGCCCACGCCTATCCTCATTCAAGCCCAGCTCCCTCCCGGCTCATCTGTCCTGTGCTTCACGGACAGCCCTGAGCAGGCAACCTCAGCTGGGGGCGACCAGTCCTACTTGAACAATGGGCCGGTGGTCTACTACCAGGTGGACCAAAGGTCCGTGCTGGGGGTGAAGGGCGAGAGCAGCACGGAGGAGCCGGAGACGCCCTCTCCTTACACCACCGAGAAGGATCTGAGCGTCTTCTCCGTCCCCGTGGCCTCGCTGATGCCTTGCAGCCGAGCTGCGGGCCCGAGCAAGACGGAGACTGGGACAGTAACCTCCTTGTCTGAGGAGTCCTCCCCGCCCCACGAGAGCTGCAGAGCAGCCGCGGCTCCGCCCTTCCGCACAAACGCTCCGGCGCCTGGACCGGAGCAGGTCCCAGAGAGAGTGTGTGAGCTGCCTCCCCCCGAGGAGCGCTCCCTGGGGCCCGCCCTGGCCGTGTGACCCGGCCCTGGCCCCTCGGATGTCTATTTATTGACTGCTATTTTATGGAGTGACAGTAGCTGCTGAGAATTATTTAATGGGTGTGGGGGGAGCCAGGCTGCTTTGTACAGATGATTTAAAAGGAAACCAATGAAACCAAGCGCTTGTGGCAGTCCCTGGAGAGGCTCCCTCTTCGGAGGGGTGGGTGTTACTGCTAAGGCTGGAGGTGCTGCTCCGTGTGCCAGAGGAGGGGGGAGGCTCAGCTGAGCCCCCTCCATTCGTGCCCCCCTGCCCCCACAGGGACCATACTATGTGAGTCTGTGTCTGTGTCCTATAAGCAATAGTGCGAAGCTCCCCTTCAAGCACTGGACTTGGCCTGCGGGGGGCGCCTTTCTGTGGCTGGTTCCCCCCCCCTCCCGAAAGTGTTTGTGTGACAGAGTCTCCATCCTACGTCTCACTCCGGGCGCAACCGAATAATCCTGTCGTCTGCTTTGATGTGGCCCTGTCTGGACGCGGCTCTCCACTCCCTCCCCGCCAGCGGCCCACGGACCCTAGAGAGCTCGGCCAGATCAGCCCCCCTTGGGGCCTGGCTCCTCTTTCGGCATGCCGCCATTTTAGAAACCAGCGCCCGGCTTTGCGTTTCCTGCTTGTCTGTAGCTTTATCTTGCCCCCCAGCACTGCACCACCTGCCTGGGGGGCTCAGTGGAACCCCTTTTTTCACTTGTTTTTTTTTTAATGTGCTGAATGTTTACTGGGCCATACAGTGACCCATCGCCTGTGACTGACACTATAGCCCCCATGCTGGGCTGTGGGCTCCCTTCCCCGGCAAACCCTTCGTGGACGTGGGCTGCTCCGGTGCAATCCACCTGCTGTGTGGAAGTACGAAGGTCAAGGTCGGCTGCTGAAGATGTAACCTGCCGGGGAGGGGGATGCCTCCTGTTTGCTAATCCTGTCAATGGTTTGTTTGAATTGCACAGGAAGGGGAGGGGGACGACCAAGCTGCCTGCCACCCAGGCACCTAAGAGCGCTCCTCTGTCCCTGCTCTGTCTAGCCCGGGGGCCAGAGGTTTGCATGCAATGAAATTGCAGCCTTGGGTGCCTGGACAGAAAACGGCCCTTTGCCTGCTAGGGCTGCCTGTGACTGCAGCAGAGGTGGCGAAGGTGCAATATGTGAGTGGCAGGGAGGCACAATCAGCATTCGGATAAGCTCCAGCACTTCCCCGGACGCCGGGGGAAAGGCAAAACCTTCTCAAAATGACTCCAATTCCTTCCTGACGGCCTGTCAGCCCTGCCTGCTGGGCAGGCCACGAGAGCACTTTCCTCCCTAGCCTCACAGGCACTTTCCTTCTGTGGCCGAAAGCTGGCCCAGAACCCCTTGAGCCCAAGGAGGACCCAGCCCGGACCCAGCTGTTCGTCGCTGCACTGAGCTTTCTGAAGGGCCAGGCCCCTGCACAACCGCAGCACTGAACTGCTAAGAGCAGCAATGCTTTCCCCTTCTCTTTCAGCCTCCGGAGCCTGCCTGGCCACCGCAACCGGCTCGTCCATTTCACTCCCCTCCGTTCCTTGAGCTTCCCTCCCCTAGTGAGTAGCTCCAGCGCTTGTTTGTGTTGGAAGAACACTCCGTGGTCCGTGGAGGGCGGCCCACGCTCACGCCTTGCTTGATCTCTGGGCCGAAGAGAGCTGAGCCCACTCATCTTGTTTTGGGGATTAGCATTTAACATCCACTGGCCGGCAGCCTTCTTCCTGGCACAGTGAGCTATGAGAAGTGAATGTGTTCAGCAAAGTAGCCTTTCCTCACGAGTGTAGAGTATGAACTGCCTCTCGCATCAGCGGCCAGGTGCCCTTGGAGATCGAGCGCCCCCCATCACCTGCGCGCTGTGCCTGCGGCTGCAAGTGCCAGGACTGAGACGTGGACGAGAACAGCTCGTGCTGGTGCAGGGTTAGATGGGCCGAGGGGGCTAATGAAATCACTACATTCTCTATTTCCAAGTTTTACACTTTGGTCCAAAAAGGTGGGTGTCGTAGAATAGACGGGTATGTCCGGCCCACCCCCAGGGCAGCTGTCTCATCAAAAATGGGCCCTTCACCTGGATGCTGAATCTTACACTTGATGCAGCCACAGCTGGGCAGCATCTGTATACAACCCAAACGTCCGCCCTCCAGTTTTGTTGCCTTAATGCTACAGCCAATCCCCTTTCTCTGGGACAGCAAGAGGCATATGGGCTTCAAAAGCCACTCTTGCAGTATGACAGCTGCGGAGCTTCTTGCTCTACTAAGCGCTTTGGCCGCACGACCCAGCAGAATGTGCATTGGCAGTTGGAATTAACCATTCACACTTTTTCCTGGCAGATCCTTTGAAGCCTTTAGCAGGGAGAATTCCCCCTCCAGCGTCCCAGGATGGTGCTGCCAGTGCGTAAGGAAGAGGCTAGTTGAACCCACAGGTAAAGGCAAACACTTTGGAACCAACCATGGAATCCTTGGCCCTGGTGGGAGGAGGACGCCTTCCCCTTTGCAATTAGCTGACCCAACTGTGTGTGGTGATCAGGTGTTAATTGTGGATTGGCCCTTTGCCAGACTGATGCTCTGTGCCCATTAGGGCTTCGGGCTCATGCTCTGCTCCTGGGAGAACCAGAGCAGCTCTCCTCTGTGAGGGAAAGAAAGCAAGGGGCTCTGGCTGGTCACGTTCCATAAGCAAAATCTTGGATACTGAAGTACCCTTCTTGATTTGTATCCAAGCTCCAGAAACCGCTGCAACTGGCTGGGGCCTCTGGTGATGGGCAGAAATCCACAGGGTGACCCGAGGTGGGCGTCTTTAAATGAGATCACACAGTGAATGAACCCTAACACAGCAGTTAGGACGGGGGCTCTTACAAAGCCGAGAACTCACGGGATTTATTCCGTCTTTGCAAAGAGCACTGTGTGGTGGATGGTGCAAGGAGGGGTGCACTTTGGCCTTTTTCCTCCCCCCTCACTTTGACACTGATGCTGGTACCACACTGTCTCCTAAAACAACACGTCAGTTAGCCATGTGGTGAGCCCTGCCGCCCCGCAGTGAGCTATGCCCCAGCTGAGACATTTCGGTTCTAGCCCTGCTCTCCTTCCTATTTAAATAGTGACTTCGCTACTTCTAACTTCTGGTCTCTTCACACACTGTATGCAGGTGGAATTTTCAATGTGAATCCAAAGCTTGTCCGGTCCTCTGCCTCGGGGTTGTTTTTTTTTTTTGGGGGGGGGGGGCCTTTTCAGTTCTTTTCATTGTGATAATGCTGTATTTAAAGAGAATATTTAAGTGTAAAAATAAAGAAATGCTCAAACTTGCATCATGTGACGTGTGTTCTCATCTCCAAGTGGATGAAAGCAAGGTTTAAGATAGTGCCTGGGGGGAGATTACCTCTGAGCAGGGACTGTTTGACCCTAATTGGAGCAGATGTGCTCTGGTGGAAATGAGAGCGCTCACTTCTCTTGGTAAGTCGCCCTGCCACGCCTCCAGGAACTGCACGCAGCGTGGTCAGTAGGTTTGTGCTGAAGGCCTGCTAAGTTTATTTCCAGCTAAACAGGCTGTTTACTCCAACTGCAGAGTAACCTCTTCTGGTTGATTAATGGGACACAGTCTATGAAAATTAGGCTAGCGGGGCTTTTTGATGCTAGGGATTAGTCCCCCTAGAAGTAGCCTGCGGCTTTACAATCTGAGAGCAGGGCTCCAGTCTCCACCCTCTTAGAGTTGCCCAGTGCTGGGAGACTAACTGGACGCTTCCACAGGTTCTCGTTTTAAAAATGCACCAGAGCCCTTCCATGAGCTGTTGTCTTTAATGGAATATTTACGTAACAGTACCACAGACTGAAGACCAACGTTTCATGCATTTTACTGCCATAAATAACTTAAGACATTAAAGTAACTTTTTAAACATCTTAAACTCAACTTGCAGCCTCTGTCGTGAGGTGAAGCGCACAGGGATGGAACTCCTGTGGCCCGAATTCTGGCGCCCAAATGCTCTCCCGCGGCAGGAAGTTTGGGTCTAAAAACCAACTGGGCAGGAATGAAGCTGAGACTCTCCCCTCAACAAGCCAGTGCTGGGTAGCACTTATTTCCATGGCAACAGGCTCTAGGCCAGTGGTTCCAGAGAGGGACACCAAGGGGCATGTATACGAATTGGTCTGCGCCTCAGGCTAACTTAGAGGGGCCAAGTCTAACAGGTGCCAGTCTCTTCCCAGAGAGGAAAGGCCACAGTTCGAGCATTAACGGGGCACTGCTGGGAACTCAAAAGGCAACAAGCCACACACACAGATGCTCAACATTAAGACGTCTCACTGGCCAAAGGGACACGGTAATGTACTGAGTCCCAGGCAGCGAGGGCGTTCCGCCCACAGCGCCGCCTCGTCAAATTCATGTTATTCCTAAAACAACATAGTGAATAAAGTCATAACAGCTTAACGGGAAAAACACCAAAGAGCATGGCCCCAGACTGGGGTCTCTTCAAGTGCTGGAGCAACAAGGAACTAGCTAGACAATGCCCACGGCTGGACGTTACCAGTGGTAGCCTCCAGGGGGAACCCTGCCAATCCAGAGGAGACGCGCTCTCAGCTGGACAGGATTACATTTAAAGTGCCATAGTTTAAGAGGCTATCGCCAAGCTAAGCCTCCTGGCTGTGTCCCAACACAGCTGCTCCCTTCTGGAAAGTGACAGGGAACAGCAGGGACCAGAACTGCGAGTCACTTCCACCCCCAGCAGGGGTCAGCGTGACGCAAACCCCATGGAATCGAAATCGTGTCGAGGAGCCAAAGCAGGTTGTTGCTCTTGGGAAGCGGGTGGCTCAAGTAACGATGCTTGCAGGGCTGAGGAAGGGTTTTACTCTCGGCCGCTGCCCTGGATAGCGCTGGGGCAGCAGAGGAGGAGTTCCTTGCTACATTCCAGCCCCCTCCTGCACAGCAAACAAAACAACCCTGCTGCCACCAGCAGCGCTACAAACAGGTTGACAGTTGAAGCGGGTGCTTGCCTGCCACGCGGCCGTCACTCCTTAGCCCCCAGGTAGTTGGTGGACAGCAAGACCATGCTGTGCGCCAAGAGCGAGACCTCTGAATCTGAAACACAAAGTCATGTTCATTGGACACCTCCAGAGCCAGCTCTCTGAAGTGCCCGGCTTGCTACTGCTGGCAGGCACCTCGGTCCTAGTAGAAGGCATTTCCAGAGGTGGAAGGAATCAGCCATTTTATCCTTGGTTTACAGTAAAGGCTCCCAGGATGGCTGGCCAACGGACAGTGGTGGGACGCAGAAGTTAGCAGGCCCCTGTGGCAGCTGCTCTGTCCCCCGCTAGCCACAGCGGCATACAGATGGTCTAGAGAGAGGGTTCTTGGACCTCCAGCTCTGCATTGTGCACCTGTGATGTTAGGAACCCTATTTGCCCCTTGGTGGTAGGACATTCGTCCCCCACAAACAATGCAGCAGCTGGACGCTCAGCCTCGTGTTTCGCCAGCACTGTCTGCACAAGGCCAACGCCCTAGCACCAAAGCCCCTACGAGGAAGGGATAACGCCTCCACACTAGAATGGCCCAAGGCGGGGGGGAGCAGGTTCTGCAGCCAGGACCCAGCCCACACACCCAGGACCCGTTTGAACCCCTGCTTCTTGCTAGCCGGCAGAGGAAACAGCGGCTGCGTCTAGACTGGCATGATTTTCCGGAAATGCTTTTAATGGAAAAGTTTTCCGTTAAAAGCATTTTTGGAACAGAGCATCTAGATTGGCACGGATGCTTTTCCGCAAAAGCACTTTTTGTGGAAAAGCGTCCGTGGCCAATCTAGACGCGCTTTTCCGCAAAAAAGCCCCGATCGCCATTTTCACGATCAGGGCTTTTTTGCGGAAAACAAATCTGACCTGTCTACACTGGCCCCTTTGCCCAAAAGGGACTTTTGCCTGAACGGGAGCAGCATAGTATTTCCGCAAGAAGCTCTGATTTCTTACAGTAGGAAGTCAGTGCTTTTGCGGAAATTCAAGTGGCCAGTGTAGACAGCTGGCAAGTTTTTCCGGAAAAGCGGCTGATTTTCCGGAAAAACTGGCCAGTCTAGACACAGCCAGCATGTTTGCCAAAGCAAGAGTTGCCTCTGGCTGCAATACACCCTGCACTGAGAGAACTACAGGCCCCACCCCAGCATCTAGGCCAGAGGTAGACACCAGGCCCCTGCTGTAGGACCAGCTGACAGCACCCGTTATGCTTTTCTGTACCAGTCTGAGCGACTCTCCAGCCAGAGGGCAGCCAGCCTGCCTAGCCCCTTCCCTTAGGGCAGCTGGGATTCAACAGAACGCAGGGTCCTAAACCCTTTGCCCCATTCCTAGAAGCTTTAAAACTCCAGCGCTGCTTCCCCAAAACCTGACAGCTTGTGAGGGAGAAGATGGCAGCAGGTAACTGGGCCTGGCAAGCTCCCACCTGCCAGGTGAGATCTCGTGGGCTGAGAGTCTCTCGTGCCTCATGGGCCAGAGCATGCGTCTATAGCCAGCAGGCACGTGTCAGAACTTACTTTTAACTAAAGCTTCTGGCGCTGCCCAGGTCATGCCCGGGGGAGGGGGAGTTCAGCCTTGCTTTTGGAAGCTAAGGCAGAGCCCAGCTCCTCTCGAGCTAGTTGAGAGGTTAGAATTATACCACGTGGACTGAACCCATTAACGGGGGAGGCCCGGTTCCCTCGGGATACAGCAAGCGTTGAAACATGCCGCATTTAAACTGCGGTGCTCTTGGGTGCGTGCTGCCTGGCCACTCGGGCTTTCTAGTGCTCATCGCAGCCAAATAACCCCAGAAGCTGCAGCTACGGCGCTGGCCCGGCCCAGGGGGAGCTGTCGATTTTTCTCCTCATGCTGAGAAAGTTGTGGGAAAGTTTCTCTTCTCCAGGTCCCTGCCCTCGGGAGTGTGAGCCACCGCGGAGGGTGCTGCTGTGTGATCTCTCTCCCCTCCGTTAAAACCCAGCATGACCTGGGTGCTCTCGAGCCAAAGGGTTTCAGTGGGGATGGGGCGGCGGGGGGTTGTCTCAGGCCATCAGACCAAACCCCTCACAGCTCAACACCCACCCAGACCCTCGAGCTAGGGTCAAGGTCTCTCCTAAGCGTGAACAATTCAGCTGCTCCACCTCCAAACAGAGCGGCTGAAATGTGAACCTGTGGCTGCAGGGACCCCAGGAATTTCAGAGCTGAGGTCTGGCCCCCTCCCGGGCCGGCAGCCAGCAAGCCCTTCGGCTCCACAGATCGGGGCGTAACTGCAGGCGCGGTCAGAGGCCGGCCCGACGGGATTCTCCCTGCGCACGAGCGCCCCGTTTACAGCCCGGAGACGGCCGCCTGGCTGAGCGTCCCCCTCTCACCTTTCAGCTCACAGGACAGCTGCAGCCATTGCTTCAGCCACTTCTGGCACTCCGAGGGGCTGAGGTGGGTGGAGTTCAGGCCACGGACGTAACAAGCCTGACGGGCAGAGGAGACAAAAGGAAGCGTCACAGCAGGTGTGTGCAGACAGGAGCTTGTTTCGGGGCAGCGCTGAGCACAAGGGGCTGCAGTCCAGACTGAGGCAACAGGGAAGTGCAGCCCAGGAAAGAAGGGATAAAAATGGCTTTAAACCACGGGCTGCCCTGGGCCCCAGTCAAAGTTAGAGCAGCCCCACAGCCTAGACTTGCCAGCCTGTTCCAGCTGCTCTCCTGCCACCCCTAGCGTGACCGTATGCTGGAGACTGAGGAGCCGTCATGTCATCCAGCCCTGCTCTGGCCCTCCCCTCGTGGCTGCTTCCCCTCCCTGTGCTGCTCTAACACTCTAGATTCACACAAGATGGCGGGGGAGACGCTTCCCGCCGTAGGACACGCGTATAACCCCGGCCCTCGGCTCCAACCCGCCCTCTGCCCAGGCAGGCTTATTTGTGGGGCCCAGGCGTAGCATAGCTATCCTCCCCTCCCCCCCACATGCACCTTCAGCCAGTTCTTGGCTCACAGGGCAGCTCTGGAGCTGAGCAATTGAAACTGACTCACTTTCCCCTCTTCTCCTGCACTAGCTAAGCAGCAGAGCAAACTGGTCCTGGCTCTGGGATCTGGATTGCAGCGGTAGCTTCTGTCAGGAGCACGGGATCAGGGCCTAAGTTATCCGCAGGGTTCTGAGCCTCAACAATATGTATTTGGTGTATGCAGAACAGGAGAAACAGTGACTGGTTCCCAGCATGTCCTCCCGCCTCCCCCCAAGAAACTGGCCTGCAAGGCTCTGCGCTCAGGCACGAGCGAAACCCAACGGTATCAGTCCTCCCCAGCAGCATTCTGGGAGCCTCCTGTTTTTCTAAGCTAGCCAGCGCAGGGCGTGGACTCGCTCACCATTTTCACCTCCTCCTCAGACAGGTCGCTCACTCCCAGCTTCAGCAAGGCTCGGTCCAGGTGCTGCAGCTCCACCAGATGGCTCTGCAGCCGGTATCTCAGGAAGAGGCTCGGCAGGTGGGGCGTCAGGAACAGGACGCGGCTCAAGGCTTTCTGAGGCGGGACGGGGGAAAAAGTGGGAAGTCGCGAGGCAGCTGGGATAGCGGGCAACACAGAGCTACAAGAGCCAAGGCAGCCCTGGGCTCCGATCTCGGCTGAGCTATGGGCGATGAGCCTCCTTGCAGGCTCAGGACAGGAGAGGAGGTTGTTCTCAGCTAAGAGCATCTCCCTTGCCCAAACCTCTCAGCCGTGCTGAGGTCGCCTTCAAGCAGTGGGCAGAAGGGAGCGTCAAACAGAAGCCCTGCACAGCGAGATGCTGCGTGGCCTTCGGAGTGCCCCACGCTGCCTTCGTCCTCAGCACGGGGCCAGCTCCTTCACCACTAGCCCGGGCAGCCTCCGCGGGGAGAGGCACTTCCTGGGAGGCACTTACCACTTGGCAAATGCGCAGCCGTTGCAGGCTCAGGGGATGTCCCGAAAACAAGCTTCTCACAGCCAGGAGTTTCGCCACCTCGGGATGGGAGCCGCCCTGCACCTTGGAGAGCCAGATTGGGGTGTTCTGATTAGAGACCTTGATACGCATGGGCAAATGATTCATCAGACCTCATCTACTGCCGTCTCTGCAGGACCCCTGTAAATCCCTCCTGGCCCAAAAGGCAGGTCACTGACCTAGTTCTCTTGGGATGCCAAGTATGGCCAGCCCACAAATGCCCCTCTTCTTGGACAGTGCTTTGGAGCAGCAAGTCTGGGTGACCCCTCCCACCCCCTGACGTTCTCTCACCAGACCAATGCAACCGGGACCCTTTTTTTGCTTCTCACTTGTAAGGCATCTTCCACCTCCCCAACTGGGCTCCCGAGTGCTGGTAACACAAAGGCAGCCTTTCTACTGCGTAAGGACCTTTGAAATTCATCTCTCCTTCCTTAGGGCTGAATAGATCCAGGTGGTTTCCTTTTGGTGGGGTTGGAACAGCGAAAATCCAGAGGGATTTGTCTGCCCAGGGACAGCAAGTGAAGCCAAGGAAGTTTGGAAGGCAAGAAACTAAGGCTAGCTGTCCTTAAAAAGGATTTGAGACCAAGGATGGCCCAGGAACATAGCCCCAATCCCCGTCACCATCACAGACGGAGTCCTAGGCCCACTGGCTGTGAAATCAATTCTAGCAAACTTGATATTTCAGATGTAAAAAAATCCCTCCAAAACGATGGGCCAAATCCCGGGGTGGGGGGTGGTTTGTATCGAGTACAGTGGAGCGCACAATCTGATCCCAGGTCCTGTCAAGGCTAACTCAGCAGCCGGTGAGGCGATCAGCGAATGATGCGAAGCAGCTGCCGTTACGGTGTTCTACAGCAGCCGACCCCTAGGGTCCAGGAAGCCCTGCGGCACATACCTTGATGCAGAGCTCTTGCATCTGGTTTCGGAGCTTCTGGTCGGCTAGAAAGCGAGTCACCTGCTCCAAGCTGTCCATTATGTCTGGGTACACCTCTCTCCGCATACCGTGATAAATGTTCAGGAACTCAGACTGCTGCTTCGGCGTCCAGAAATGGCGTATCAACAGTTGCCTTGGGAACAAGTACCTTGGAAAGCAAAGGGCAGCCAGAGGTGACACATGGTGCTTCACCGGCAGGGACACGGCAGATGCACATGGTCCAACAGGCTCACGCTCGGCAGTCGCAGGCCAAGCAACAGTGCCCTGCCTGTCAGACAGGAGCCGTGCCGGGACCTGGCCCTGTGGCTACTGCTTTGCCTGTGCTGTGGCCAACGAGGGCTTGATTCCCAGCTCCTCCTGTCCAGATCTGGGAGTTCCACAGAAGTGCATGCTTGGCCCCTCGCACTAGCAAAAGCTTGCCCCTCTGGCCAGTTAAAGAGCAGCGGGATGAGCGCCACCTGGTCCCATCTGACTTCGGCTGTGCCCCAGGGCCTTGCATGCAGGTGTAAACCTCTCCAGGGCTCCTATGATGCAGGGACCTCGCTGAACGCAAGTCCTTTGTTTATCTAATATCTTATGGACACGATCGGTCACTTGGCTGCACTGTGGCATCGACCCACAGAGCACCATGTAGTCTAGCCAGCAAGGAATTAGCAAGGTTAGATAGCAGGAGAGGCATTCAAGGCAGTTGGGGAGGGGGAGTAGCTGGGGAAAAAATGTCAGCTGGTCTAGACACATGTGAAGAGGCCCTACAGCCAAGGGTCTGCCGGACGGCGTGTAAAGACGTGCTCACATGCTGTAGCGATGAGCATCACATAAATGCCAATAAATATAAAGTCTCCACTGCTCCTAGGGTTAGAAGGAAGGAACTAATGACTACTGGAGAGAACTAGAATGCAGCAGAAATCTCTTCAGACAAAAATCAATGCTGCCCCAGAACATGCACTAATGTAGTGAGTGCAATGTCCCAGGAGGGCCAAGGCACTGGATTTTTCCAGAGGTTAGTACAGAAATGGGAACTCTAATCTGTACAGAAGGGAGAAATCTGTTCTGGTAGAAAACAGATTCCGTCTAGCTCATACTGTCTGGGTGATGAGTTGTCTGCAGATGAACAAGTTAATGAGGTTTTCCTCTTGTGTTTCCTCGGTTTAGACAAACAACTGAAGAACTACATCAGGAAAAAAAAATCAGGCTCAAACACTTTCCATGAATATCAATGTAGCTTTAACTACTGCAAAAATAGTTTTCAGAGGAACAAAGACAGCTGCTCTGTAATACACCCTCTCATCAGACAGCCAGGAACAGTACACGTGTCAGCTGAGACACAAGAGAAGAAAGGAGCCCCAAGAAAAAGAGCAGTTCTGCTCACTAATCGCTCCCGTTACTTTCTCAGCCTCTGCATGGTCACTGTTCAGGGCCAGGACTCGGTGACAGGCTGGTCCCCAACGATTTAAAGGTTCCGTACAGGACGTACTCACATCAGCACAAAGACCAAGTAGTTGGCGAAAGGTGGAATGGAGAGAAGCCCAATAGGAATGGCCTTGATCAGATCCCTGCGAAACTGAGCAAAAGTTAAAACAACACGGTTATGCACAGAGCGCCAGCTACAGCAATGTTAAACAGACCCGGTCGGAGATGGGCCAGCACCATTCGAACCCTGCTCTTCACAAGAAATGCTCTTAAGTGGCAGCAATGTTATAGGCTAAAATAGCGAAGTCAGAGTGGTGGCTTTTCAATCGGTGTGTTTTAAAGTCTGTATCTCGGCAATGGGCAACCTAGGCTAGCGAGCGGAGCCGCACGATTGTCATACCCAAGGTGGTCTCCCAGGATTGGGGCAGTTTTACTAACTTGCGTACCTAGAATTTGCAGGGTGTGCTAACTGAACCGTAGCAGTGCTGTGATTGGATGCACCGGGAGTGCGCGCGCTCACAGCCAAGGTTACGTACAATCAGCACACACCTCACTTCACGTGCCCTTGTTTTACGTGTGTTTCACATGCGTAATAGCAGTAGGAAAAGAAACATTGCTGATTGAAACAAAGGAATCTGGCAACTTGCATGTGGGCAACGGTAAACAAAACGCATCATGGTCACACACAGAACTCCAATAGGCCGCAGATTGCTCAGCGCTGGTGAGCCTTGATTCCTCCCTTCACAGAAAGAAGAGAGACGCGACTCAATGGCAACAGTGGAGCCACCGTTCAGGCCTGGAATCCCAGGGGCATGAAAGTCGCTAGCACAAGCGTGCCAGTTGCGTGGGAGAATGTAGTAAAACGTTTGGTCAGTTCTGAGAAATGCAGTGTAACGTGTATAAACCCGAGCACGAAACAGGAGCCTGAAAGGTGAACCCCACCTGTCTTAGTCTTTCCATCTCTCTGTAGGGAAGCTGATGAAAATCGATCTTTTGAAGAGACATGTTTAACTTTATTCTTCTTATTTCTTTTGCTTCTGAAAACAGTGTCCGAAATCCTGTACAGAATGCAGGTGTTACTTTCAGGCCTGCAGTTGTGCTCTACTTCAGAGGTCCATGGACAATGCCCTTCAGAAGCCTTCACATCTTTATTTCATTTGGCTAGTGAATGGCCCGGTGACGTACAGCACAAGTGGATACATCGTACATTGTCTGATATAACTTTGTGTGGAGAACAGCTTCTAACATAGAGGCTGAGAGTGGAACGAGAACTGAGGCTGGAAAATGTAGATTAACCCAAGCCATCAAAATGTCAGCAGCTCTTCCAATGTTTGCAGCCATCTACAGAATGAGAGACCAGTTTGCCTGACTGATCCAAAACCTTTAGTAGCACCTTCTCAGGTTGTATGACAAAATTTGGCAGTGTATGGGGGGTGGGGGGAGAGGTAGTGTACACGATTACTTATTTCCTCTACACATAGAATTCTGACTTCAAATCAAACCAAAGTGCCAGAGCACATCAAACCGAAGGTCTATCCACTCTGGACTGTTCCCGTGTCAGCTGATGGCAGAGGAAGGTATAAAACTCACAGAATGGACACTTGTGCATTAAGAATTTATGCATCAGAGAAGTTTCTGCCTCTGTACTAGAACATGAGGGCTAACCTCCCTTACGGGCAAGATTTATTAAACGTGTCTAAGAATCTGTCTCTTTGTTCTGTTGAAAAAGCCCCTCTACACATTCACCCTAGAACAGTGGGCATTAGTGTTCTATATGAACAGTGAATTCTTTTTTTCTGAATCTTACAAAGCTCTTGGCTTGGGTCAGTTAACAGCAATGACTTACACAAGTTCATTGTGCATTTTATGAAGCATTTGTTTTCAAAAGAATTAAAAGTATTGATTTTAAATCCATTGCTTTTCAGGTACAGAGGATGAGCCCTTAGTCTTGTAGTGAGACTAAATAACCCTATCTTTTATCCATTTTATGTCAGTTTTTATCTGTCTGCTCTCTACATAATGGGAGCCTTTTTGCTCTTCCCCATATGGAATTGTCATGAGTAGCCAATCACCAAACCTTTCTATTCCTGCTTTATTCTTTTAACAACAGGGTGACTAAAATGACCTTTTTTCAGGGAAGGGTGTCTCCCTATCCCCCTCTTGCTTGGATATACAAGAAACCTTTAAACCTCACAGTTAATATCGAGTCCCAGGAAGCTGGTCCAGCCTATACAAATAGCATTATAGATAAGCCCCCAGAAGGAGGCTATTTGTGATCATCTTCTATAACAGCAGCCATAGGATTTCCTTGAATTAACTCATTTGAACTAGAGCATGTCTTTCAGAAAATATCCAATCTTGATTTAAAACTTGTCAGTAATGAAAAAATCTACCACAACCTCTGTAAATTTTTAACAGTGAAAGTAACAAACAATGTGCTTTATTACCCATTTAAATTTTTTTTTGCTTCAACTTCTAATTAGAGTAACTCAGCTACTTCTCTGAAGAGTGAAACTAGTTTGTCTATTTTTTTTGTCCAAGCTGAATGAAATGTACAAAAAGCCAAGATCCATCACAAGTGATAAGAAAATGTTATGTTGAAGGCTCAGCCTTTCAAATGCTTAAGGAACTTGGCTTTGGGGAAAAAGAAAAGACACCCTAAAAGGATTATTCATAAAAGACAGAAAAATATAAAATGATTTTTAGTCATACAGTGTCCTTTAGCTAACAAAAAAATAGGCTAAAATCAGTCAACCTTTTCTATAACCAGTAAAAGAAACTATTTCCCCCATCAAAACCTACCTTTCATAAAAGTTGAATACAATAAGTAGAAGCGGGGGAAGGTCCTTTCCAAAAAGCTCTCGTATTTCCCATTGGCATATTTGAATTGTGACATGACAGCAGCGAGGAGAGCTTTGGGGTTTGTCTTTGAAGAGAGGCAGCATGCTGGGTGCCTGCAACAAAAAGTAACTTGCAGAAAAATCTTAAAGGAACCAAGTGATCTTTCTCTACCCTGAAGCTGTAAAGAGAAAAGTACATGTCCTCTAGCAAAGCCCTGTGGGGATGTAGGCTTGAGCTGAAGTCATCTGATGTAAAGCCTCAGTAACGGTGCCAAAAAAGCAACAACCACCCCCCAGTCTCACAGTGAGGAAAACAGGACAAAACACTATAGGGATTGCATTTTTGATGGGCACCGGTAACAAAGAATCTGTGGGCCAAATTCTGTTCTCAGGTGAACCTGTGCGCCACCGCCTTCAGAGTCACTCTTGTTGCATTTGTGCAACTGAGGACAGAATTTAGCCCCATAATTGCATCTTAGCTCACAATTCTGCTATGAGTCCAACTCTTCTAGAGCAGTCTTGGCCTCTGCAGGGCCAACCGACATAATCAGATGCTTCTGATTTACACCAGTGTGAGCGAGAGACTGGTTCGGTCCATTGTGAGTGGAATGGAAACCAAATAGTCTCCTAAAGAAATCGTTACAAAAGAGTCACATGAAGCGTCAGTAGCTTCTAAGTGTGTTGGCTGAGGTGCCCCTCTCCACCAAGTAGGCCTGAGCTACGTGATGCCAGCTAATGAGCACCCAGCAGCAGCAGGGAGATGCAGCCAAGCAAGAAGCAGTCACCCCCGAAACCATCTGGAAAAAAGCCTGCAATCCAAAGATTCAGACGGTATCAGCTGCCAAACCCTCCCCTAGCACCACAACCCAATCCCAAGGTAGTAAACCCGCACGGCTGATGTGAAAAGGCAGGAGCCAGTGAGCACAACTCAACTGGCAACAAGGGTCCTCTAGGAAATGGGGAGCCAACTACCACAGCCAGCCTGGCACGGTGGGCGCAGGTGGACGAAGGCAGCAGGTACAGCTGAGCTGACAACGTGGGGCTGTCCGCATGGAGGGAAAGGGCCAGTGGGCACGGCTGTCATAGAGGGACTGGGTCCAGAGGGGGAAGGGCTGATGGGAATGGCTGGCACCAGGGCAGAGACAGACAGCATGGCTATCGGGGGCAGGCTGGGGGCAGAGAGAACTGCCAATGGGCATAGCTGGCACTGGGGGAGGGCCGAGGGGCACTGGGGGAGGCTCAGG